CCGACACCGGAGACTATCAACAAAGTCGTTCTCAACAGCCGCAAGTCAAGCAAGAACCGGCGCCGGATCTGCCGAGCGCGCAAACTTAGCATAACAATGCCTCAAATGTGCAATAACATCCTGATTAATGCGATACTGCTCCGAGTAAATCCCAATCATAACCTCATCATTCAACTCCGACAGATGCGTCAGCGCAGCCTCCGTATCGGATCAAGCTCGGCAGGCGTGTTCTTCCAACACTTGCCCTACGAGAATAACTCTAGTATAATCCCCGACTTGCTGGCTTGCAGGATCTCCTTCACGCCCTACAGCAGCTCGAACAGTATCACGATGTTCTCTGTGATACTAGCGCACTCGTCCTTCGTGACGGTTAGTTGAAGTGACGCGATGCTGTTCGCGATAATGACGATCGAATGCGCGAATACCGCGTCACAATTCTATGGCGTGATACTATCGATCGCGTTGCGGAATGGCGTTAGGCTGCGCTTGTACTGTAACCCTATTCCGTAGTACAGGAGAGCTGCTTCTGATGGCTCGCAGGTTGTTGCGATGTGCATCAAGGCCAACGCCAAGATCTGCTCATCAGGTAGTCGTGTTTGAAGGCGAGTGTCGGTACGGTTAATTGCCAGATTTTTATTTCTGAATCGCTGACACAGAGGTTTCCGTGTGTGTTTGTTACGAACTTGTGCATTAGTTCTAGGTTGTCGATGCCGAATGAGTTTGTTTGGGCTGGTGCCGGGACTTGGATTGTTAGAACGGCTAGACCGGGCATCGCTACTACGGGCGAGCCGTGGCCACCTAGATACCGGGGCACGTCAGATGTTGAACTGGGTGGGTCGACATGTGTTGTAGCGACGGGCGGCGGCGGCTTTCAAATATGTGCATTTTAGCTCTCGGGTTGTGCAGTTTGAGCATGTGAAACCTGCTCGTCACATTTAACCCGCCTGCTTCTGCATTGATCGCACCCGTTGCAGGATTTAGCGTGCGCGCGGAGAGGGGACATGTTCCAAGTTACTTGACATGTTGCGGAGATCGATCATGAAGATGAAGATGGCTGTTTATAAGAGCGGGAAACAAATTACCCGAGATATTTCCCCGTGTCATGTGACTCGGGTCTAGAACGATTTCGGAAATATATGTGTCGAGTTGAGACTTCATATGGTGTAAACGACACTCTCGGTAATATTGGCGAAATTTGGCGAAATTTGGCGTTACATTGTGCATAGTGCATGTGTCCACGGTAGAGGTTGTTGAAAATAGTACAGATGATACTCTTCGGCAAAGTATCGGGATAAATGATATCTTGCAAGCATCGTACTAAGTGACACTGAAAATAAATCGTAAAACTGCCTGACCTCTTTATAATGGAACGAAGGCCATATTTATAGGCTTCTTCTTCGTAAGCCCTCAATGCGATAGAACAGAAGAGAACCAACATGAAGCTGACATTGACTGAATGTAACCCAAATTGAAATGTCGAGTTCACGATGTAGTGCGATGAGATTTATATGCGAAAATTGAGCATGAAAAAAGATCAAACTGCGCTCAGCTAAAGACGCTAGCTAGTATTACTTTGGCAGGGGCCAGGATTCTTTCAGATCTTGCATTAGAAACCGGGAATTAGGGTTAGCGTTGAAGTCCTATAAAGCATGTAATTACTGAGAATTAACGGGGATTTTCAACAGAAGTAAATTTAGGATATATGTATCCAAATGCCTAGACGTCATTGTCAGAATACTATTATTATTAGAACCGCCGTATTACCAACATCGACAGCCCCCTCCAAATGATTCGACTAGAAATTCAACAAGTCAACCGCACTCAAAGACGATCCGTAGCCGCAAAAAGACTAGCAACAACACCAGCAATGATACCAGACTTTTTCTGAGCAGCGCCAGTGTAAATAGGAGAAGCAGAAGCAGACGCAGTAGCAGAAAAGCTACTCAAGGATCCAGCCATAGAATTAGAAGGGGTAGGCATAGTCATGTCCTTCGTGTCACCCATACCCATAACAGCCATACTACTCGGGGTACCCATAGTAGTCTCCTTTCCAATCTATCAATACAAACAACATCAGCCCTGCGAAAGATGGGGCGAGGAAGCACCAAGCAAAAAATTCAAACGTAAAAGGTAATAGGATCAGCAACAATATTGTCATCAGCCGCCTGTTGTTGCCCTTAGTCAGGACGACGTAGCTCTGTCCGGCAACGCCCTTGGGAATAGTGATGGTGAACTTTCCATCACCCATAGACTTGGGAGGAGCCCAGACTGGACCGGTGACGGTAATGAAGGCGGCGTTGACATCGCTGCTGGTTGCGTTGAAGCCGCTACCGGCCATCAGCTGCACCTGCGAGCCTGTCATGACGGCGTCCATCGAGCTCATCGTGAGCGCGGGGAAGGCCTTTACAGGCAGCGCGCTGTTGCCGGAGGGACGGAAAGCGATGGAGGGGGAGGCAACGGTGTACACCCCTTTGAGATCGAGAGGGTTGTCGAAGGCCTGGGCAAAGGGGACTTTGCCGACCGCGGCGCGCAGGTACGCGCTGTGTCGGGCTTCTGTGGTGAGGATGCTGCCGGCGGCTGTCCGGTAGTTGTCGCTCATGATGGAGGCTGCGGCTCCTAGGTAGGCGCTGACCCCGGCACCTGGAGAGGTCCTTAGTGGTGGTTGTTGGTGTGACTGGATGTCTTATGTTTATATATTCCTGTGGTCTCTGTCTTCATTTAAATACTCCTAAAAATGTACTGTTGATAGCCTGTCGATCTGGGATATACCCATAAGCTCGATATACTCGTCCCGTGGCACCCTATCTGTAGTTTACTGATACCCTTCCGGGCAAGGACTAGCGATTTTTCAAAGAAACGCTTTCAGTGTACAGAAAAGCTACGATGCTTCGTGAGAGAAGCGGCTTAGCCTTATTAGCCGCTACCGTCCGCATCTGGCTACCTGGCGATGTTTTTGGGCTACAGTATTGTTGAGAGGTCACGTGACCTCCCATGTTTGCTCCCAGTCATTTAGTCCCCACACGTAGATAGTTCTCTCTCTCCCTCTTCTTTTCTCCTCTGCGCAATAAGAGATATTTTCCAGTGCTTCTACTACTCCATCTCTTAAGAAGTATATATAAAACCCATCGATCTATTCGAACAAATAAACCCACTTTATGCATAGTACAAAGATCTCTCAGATAGAAAACGTAGCAGCCTGCGTGTAAGGATTAGGACTGACCTCGGGACTTCCTGGGATTGACCATGAACCGACGTAAGAAATGGTCTATAACCGATGACGTCGCCTATGCCGATTACCAACAGAAGGCAACAAAGCACAAACCAGTCGAGATGGTCCAACCCGGCCTTTTCTGTCTACCCTTATTGTAGATTCTCCGCGAGGTGGAGCCTCAGAGGGACTTGACCAATGACAACAGTTTAATAGCCGGTTGAGCCAAAAGATACGTTGTAGACATTAGGTCATAAGCTATCCTGCTTGATTCATATGACCTCTATCTCTTAATATATTAATCTTCAAAATGTGGTCATGTTGCACTGTTAAACGTAATCAAGCTTTACCCTTGACAGCCGTTTCTCTGACAAGAATTTGCCTCTCTCGTACTTGCCATTTCAGCCTCCATGGCTATTATTTTCTTGCCAAGCTTCTAGTTCTAGCTTCAGTCGTGTGGGAGCTCGGTCATACACTTACAGCAAGTCAGCTTTCTTTGTAAGTTCTTAGAAAGAGTCCTGGCCCTAGTTGCTCCTGGGATCGAAATCGGTATTCCTAGATTCCTCCGAGAGAATCATTTGTTAATCCCCGGGACCCTCATGATCCCGGGATTCACACTTAGGAGGCCAGGAACAGATGTGAAACGCGAGTCATGCTGTCGGTTTAAATATTACCCGATAGGTGACCCCACTGATCCGCCGAGGGCCGGGGGCTATGTCCAAACACTGCCCTGTTCAAGGCCTTTTCCGTCCTTCAATATACCTCAAACAAAGCTGCCCACACCGAGAGATATAGCTTTTTTACAATATCGCTCGCATAGGAAGATATATATAGTAGTTGTATGCTGTATATCGTTTCGACAGTTGATTTAACCACTAGACCAAAATACGAATCCGTACCCAGCCTAGTGGGTTGTGGTTTAGAATCCAACTTCGACGAGGGGTCAGCGTAAATGAATTACATAACCGTGACTAAGCATTCACCTACACCCGTCCCGCGTGTAGGTGAGCCAATACCTATTAACAAACCAATACCTATTAACAAACCAATACCTATTGACAAAAAATTCAGCCTTCAATTTTCAACCTTACTTTTTACCACCAAAACAATGCCAATTTCCTCCGAAAAAGAAGAGATACTTCTCTCAAATGCCCTTGAAGCCTATAACTCAGGCCAATTTAATAGTATTCAATCCGCAGCTTCTCATTTTGGCGTCTCAAAGTGGAAGCTTCGGAACCGGAAGGACGGCAGGACAAATGGAAAAGGCCGTATAGCCACCAAAAAAGCCCTGAATTCCTTGCAAGAAGCCTCTCTTATTCGCTGGATCGAGCTACTCAATTCAGTATATACACCACCGACTGCTTTAGATATTGAGGGCGCTGCAAACCGCATTTTACAGCACTGCGGTTCCGACCGGCAGGTCAGTAAAATGTACGGCTACCAATTCATCGCGCGCCTACCACCACATATCACTCTCCGTACACAAAAGCCTATGGAAAAAGCGAGAATCGAGGCCGAATTACACGGTGAATTAGTTCATTGGTATAAGGTCTTTGGCCAATTCCTTAAAAAGAACAAAATTCAGGCCCACGAACTATACAACTGGGATGAAACTGGCTTTCAGCTAGGCGTTGGAACTAAGGAAAACGTGGCTTCTACCCGCGAACATGAGACTATTGCGACCGGTGGAATAGGCCAGAATATCACTGGTATTGAGTGTATTTCGGCCGATGGCTAGGTTATGCATCCATGGTTTTTAATGCGTGGTTCCGAACAAATGGAAGATTGGTACGACAACGATAATGACCCTTCGAATTACCGGGTTATTAAACCAACTACAAAAGGCTGGACGGACGATAAAACTGCTATTCAATGGCTATTGGATTTCCATTATACCACCAAAAAGCGAGTTACCAAAGGCAGACCTAGGGTATTGGTTATGGATAACCATGGTTCTCATGGAACCCCGGAGTTCGAATATATCTGCCAAAGCTTAAACATTATACCTTGGTGGTTTATACCAAAATTGACACATCGATGCCAGCCTCTCGATGGCAAGCCATTCTCGGTCCTTAAACAGAAGTTCCGAAAGAAGAATAACGAGATCGTACGATGGGGTGGAGATGTTGACGACAAACGGCACTTTCTTCAGATGATTAAGACAGTTCGTAAGGACACATTTAAAGCACAAACTGTTAAATCATCATTCTATGATACTGGCATTTGGCCTTGGAATCCACATATTGTCTG